TCCGAAATTCATTTCAAAAACTAACACTGGGACCCACGTCTCGAATCCCGAAAAACTCACGAAATCCGAACACCCGTTTCGATATGAGTTAAACCATACAAAAATTATCGAATTCCGACATCAGATTGGCTTTCAAATCTTAAATTTTCGTTTTTGGAAGATTTTATAAAAATCTGATTTTTCTTCCATAAATTCACGGATTCATAATGTAAATGAGTAAGGAATCATGAAATATAACTAATTTCGGATAAAGAATACTTACCAACTCAAACTCATGAAAAATGCCTATGAAATCGCCCAAAATCGAGGTCTAAAACTCTAAAAAAAAGAACAAAAATGTCGGACTCCGGACATATATATTCTGTCCAGGCAAGTCGCAACTGTGAGATGCGACTTGTCTCAAAATTTTCAAGCCAAAAATTGTGGTACCAACCTTTAGTCAATCAATCATAACTTTCTCTACAAATGTCCAAATGAAGAATGGTTTATCTTTCTGAAAATTAGAATCAAAGGGTTACAACTTTCATGTTTTGATAAATTTCAAATTCCTTATAGATTGCGAGATATAAGCTTCCAAAATTAGCCCTGTGCATCTAAAATATTTGGCGATGCACACTGCAAGGCAAACAAAAGCTGCGTTTCCAGCCTTCAGTCAATCGATTATAACTTTCTGTATAAATGTCCAACTGATGCATGGTTTATCTTTATGGAAATTAAAATCAAAGGGCTACAACTTTTATGTTTTGATAATTTTCAGATTCCTTATAAATTGCAAGATATAAGCTTCTAAAGTCAGCTCTGCGCATCAGAAATTTCGCACACTAGTGTCAAAAATCAGCAGTTAACAATGACCTAAAAATGGTTCAAAACCACTCTGAAACTCACCCGAGCCCCTCGGAACCCCGTCCGAACCTACTAACAAGTCTCAAAACATATTATGAACCTACTCGAGGTCTCAAATCACACATAACAACGGCAAAACTACAAATCGCGCGTCGATTCAAACTTGTGAGTTTATGAAATTTTCAATTCTATAACTCGCGCCGAAACATGCCAAATCAATTCAGAATGAACTCAAATTATGCATGCAAGTTATAAATGACATAATGGAGCTATTCCAATTTCCAGAATCAAATTCCGACCCCGATATCAATAAAGTCAATCCCCGGTCAAACTTTCCAAAATTGTTCTATTTTCCAACTTTCGTCAAAATGCGTTGAATTGTCCTACGGACTTCCAAATCCAAATTCGAACATGCGCCTAAGTCCAAAATCACCATACGAAGCTATTGAAATCATCAAAAATCCATTCCGGGTTCGTTTGCTCAAAATTAAAATCTCCGATCAAACTTTAAAAATTCAAGCTTTATAAAATCAAACCTTTTTTTTCTTTTCAAAAACTAATGAAAAACGTGCCTACGTACCTCGGAATAACTTCAAATTTTATACATAAGTCATAAATATTGTTACAAAACTGATCGAACTCTCGGAATCTAAATCGGGACCCGGTATCAACAAAAACCAATTATGACTTAAACCTTTAAATTTTTAGTTTCCGTTAAATGCCGATAATTTGAGCTAGGGACCTTCGAATTCGATTGCGGGCATACGCCCAAGTCCCAAATCATGATACGGACCTACCGGAACTATCAAAATACTGATCTGGGTTTGTTGGCTCAAAATAATGACCGAACTCAACTCAGTTGAGTTTTAAAGCTCTATTTCATATTTTAATCAAAGTTTCATATAAAAACTTTTCGAAAAAATTTACGGACTGCGCATGCATGTCGAGGAATGCTGAATAGTGCTTTTCAAGGTCTCAGAACATAGAAATAAATATTTAAAATTAAAGATGACGTATTGGGTCATCACATTCTCCACCTCTAAAACAAACGTTCGTCCTCGAACGGAGTTAGAAAAATACCCGAGCTTGTGAAAAGGTGAGGATATCTACTCCGCATGTCTGGACCGCACTCCCAGGTAGCTGCCTCAATTGGCTGACCTCTCCGTTGTACCCAAACTGATGAATAACTTTTAGACCTGAACTGTCGGACCTGCCGAGCTAGGATAGCTACCGGCTCCTCCTCATAAGTCAAATCTTTATCCAATTGGACTGAGATGAAATCTAATACATGGGACGGATCACCATGATATTTTCGGAGCATAGATACATGGAACACCGGATGAACTGCTGATAAACTAGGTGGTAGTGCAAGCTTGTAGGCTACTTCACCCACCCTTTCAAGAATTTCAAAAGGTCAGATATACCTAGGGCTTAACTTTCCCTTCTTTCCGAATCTCATTACACCTTTCATAGGTGAAACCGGGAGCAATACTCTTTCTCCAGTCATGAATGCAACATCATGAACCTTACAGTCGGCATAACTCTTTTGCCTAGACTGAGCTGTGCGAAGTCGATCCTGGATAACCTTGACCTTATCCAAGACATCCTGTACCAAATCAGTACCCAACAACCGAGCCTCTCCCGGTTCAAACCAGCCAACTGGCGAAAGACATCGCCTCCCATATAATGCTTCATATGGAGCCACCTGAATGCTCGACTGGTAGCTGTTATTATAGGCAAACTCTGCAAGTGGCAAGAACTGATCCCAAGAACCTCCAAAATCTATAATACATGCGCGAAACATATCTTCCAATATCTGAATAGTGCGCTCTGATTGTTCGTCTGTATGTGGATAAAATGTTGTACTCAACTCAACCCGCGTGCCTAACTCATGTTATACAGCCCTCCAGAAGTGCGAGGTGAACTGCGTACCTTGATCTGAAATAATAGACACGGGCACACCGTGAAGGCAGACAATCTCACGAATGTAAATTTTAGCTAACCACTCTAAAGAATAGGTAATTGCCACTGGAATGAAGTGTGCTGACCTGGTCAACATGTCCACAATGACCCATACTGCATCGAACTTCTTCTAAGTTCGTGGGAGTCCAACAACAAAATCCATAGTAATACGCTCCCACTTCCACTTAGGAATTTCTAACTTCTAAAGCAAACCACCAGGTCTTTGATGCTCGTACTTAACTTGCTGACAATTCAAACACTGAGCTACATATGCAACTATATCCTTTTTCATTCTTCTCCACCAATAATGTTGCCACAAATCTTGATACATTTTGGCGGCACCCGGATGAATAAAATATCGGGAACTGTGGGACTCTTCAAGAATTAATTCACAAAGCCCATCCACATTAGGAACACAAATACGACCGTGCATCCGCAGAACTCCATCATCTCCTACAGCATCTTGCTTGGCACCACCGTGCCGCACCGTGTCCTTAAGGACAAGCAAATGAGGATCATCATACTGTCGCTCTCTGATGCGCTCATATAAAGAAGATCGAGCGATTGTGTAAGCTAGAACCCGACTGGGCTTCGAAAGATCTAACCTCACAAACTGATTGGCCAAAGTATGAACATCTGCATCTAGCGGTCTCTAACCAACTGGAATATACGCAAGGCTGCCCATACTCATAGCCTTTCTATCAAAGCATCGGCCACCACATTAGCCTTTCCCGGATGATACAAAATGGTGATATCATAGTCTTTTAACAGCTCCAACCATCTTCTCTGCCTCAAATTGAGATCTTTTTGTTTGAATAGATACTATAGACTACGATGATTTGTGAATACTTCACATGACACGCCGTAAAGGTAGTGCCTCCAAATCTTCAGTGCATGAACAATGGCTGTCAATTCTAAGTCATGAACAGGATAATTCTTCTCGTGAACTTTTAACTGCCGCGACGCATATTCAATCACCCTTCCATCTTGCATCAATACTGCACCGAGTCCAATACGAGATGCATCACAATACACCGTGTAGGATCCTGAACCTATGGGCAACACCAACACTGGCACCGTAGTCAAAGCAGTCTTGCGTTTCTGAAAGCTCAACTCACACTCGTCTGACCATCTGAATGGAGCACCCTTCTGGGTTAGTCTGGTCAATGGGTTTGCTATAGATGAAAACCCTTTCACGAACCAGCGATAATAACCTCCAGACCGAGAAAACTCTGAATCTCTGTAGCTGAAGTAGGTCTAGGCTAGTTCTGAACTGCCTCAATCTTCTTAGGGTCCACTTTTATGTCTTCTAGCGATACAACATGCGCACAAAGCCAACTGAGTTTAACCAAAACTCACATTTTGAAAATTTGGCATATAATTGATTATCCCTCAAAGTCTGAAGCACAATTCGAAGATGTTGCTCATGCTCCCCTCGTCTGCTGGAGTAAATCAAGATGTCATCAATGAATACAACCACAAAAGAATCCAGCTAGGGCTTGAACACCCGATTCATCAAATCCATAAATGTTGCTGGGGGCATTTGTTAGCCCAAATGACATCACTAAAAATTCATAATGCCCATACCGAGTCCGAAATGTCTTAGGGATATCAGATGCCCTAATCTTCAGCTGATGATAGCCAAACCTTAAGTCAATCTTCGAAAATACCTTGGCACCCTGAAGCTGATCGAATAAGTCATCAATTCTTGGCAACGGATACTTGTTCTTGATAGTAGCCTTATTCAACTATCGATAATCTATACACATCCGTATTGAACCATCTTTATTCTTCACAAACAATACTGGTGCACCCCAGGGCGAGACACTAGGTCTAATGAATCCCTGATCAAGCAAGTCTTGTAACTTCTCCTTCAATTCTTTCAACTCCGGCGGGTCCATACGGTATGGTGGAATAGAAATGGGCTGAGTGCCTTGAGCCAAATCAATACAAAAGTCAATATCTCTATTGCGGCACAAGAACGCTCACTTGGGGCACTACTTGCTCAAGAGAATGATGAAGGAAAAGAACAAGCCTTGTACTACCTCAGTCGAACTCTGATAGGAGCTGAGTTGAACTACACGCCTGTTGAGAAAATATGCTTAGCGTTACTTTATGCAATAAAGAAACTAAGGCATTATTTTGAAGCATACACCATCAAACTCATCTCTCGATTAGATCCTGTGAAGTTCGTGATGACTCGACCTGTTCTTTTTGGATGCCTAACAAGATGGTCCATATTTTTTTACCAATATGAGATCATATACACACCTCAAAAGGCTGTGAAAGGACAAGCACTCATCGATTTTCTAGCTGATCACCCTCTTCCGGTGGAATGGGAGCTTTCTGATGAGTTTCCAGATGAAGATATTTTGTTCGTTGAAGAATCGCCACGATGGACAATATTCTTTGATGGATCCGCATGTCGGAACGGTGCAGGGGCAAGTGTTGTGTTGATCTCTCCAGAAAGACCAGTCTTGCCATTCTCCTTTGTTTTAGGTGAAACATGCTCCAACAATGTTGCAGAGTACCAAGCTTTGATCATCGGTCTTGAAATGGCATTAGACATGAAGATTCTACAGTTGGGGATTTACGATATAAAGAAGGAAGATCTTTTGCCATACCACCAATATGCTTCTTGTTTACTCGAAAGATTTGACCAATTGCTCTTAAACCACGTCCCAAGAGAAGAAAATAGCATGGCTGATGCTTTGGCTAACTTGGGCACGACGATGGCACTTGGAGAGAATGAGTCAACAAAGATACATGTGTGTCATCGATAGGTCATTCCTGTAATTCTTGATCTTCAAATCAACGAAAGTCATCATACGTCCATTCAGATGATTGAAGAAGAGGATTGGAGGCAACCATTGATAGAGTACCTTGAACATGGAAAGTTACCTGAGGATCCACGACAAAGAACAGACATCAAGCGAAGGGCACCATGATTCATCTTCTATAAGGGGACATTATTTCGCCGCTCTTTTGAAGGACTATTCTTGCGATGTCTTGACAAAGAAGAAGCCCACCAAGCGATGGAGGAAGCACATTCTGGCTCATGTGGAGCACATCAATCTAGTTCTAAGCTCCATTTTTGCATCAAAAGGATGGGCTACTACTGGCCGACAATGGTGAAGGATTGCATGGAACATACCAAAAGATGTCAAGTGTGTCAATTCCACGCTAACTATATCCACCAACCTCCAGAGCCTCTTCATCCAACTGTAGCTTCATGGCCTTTTGATGCATGAGGACTTGACGTTGTTGGACCGCTTCCAAAGTCATCAAAGGGACAGATGTACATATTGGCTGACACAATCTACTTCTCTAGATGGGCTGAAGTTGTTCACTCAAGGAAGTAAAAAAGGAAACGGTTGCCGATTTTATCAAGTCGAACATAAATTTTAGGTACTGCATACCAAGATACATAATCACGGATAATAGAACGCCATTTGAAAACAAGCTCGTGAGGAGTCTATGCGAGAAATTTGGTTTGGAGCAACATAAGTCTTCAATATATAATGCACCCACAATCATTCCAAGTGGGAGACTTAGTCCTAGCTATTCGACGACCTATAATCCTCAACAAACGCATATGCGACAAGTTTACCTCAAAATGGGATGGTCCATATGTTGTGAAGGAAGCATATTCAAGTGGCGCATACAAAATTATTGATAAGGATGGTCTTAGAGTTGGTCCGATCAACGGGAAATTTCTGAAGCAGTACTTCCCATGAAAGTCACCTACGAGCCTAAACTACAAGTCATGACGCTCCTCGACGTACGAGCCTAAACTACAAGTCATGACTCTCCTTGATGCATGAGCCTAAACTGTACATTGCTACACTCCTGGCCCGCATGAGTCTAAATTGTGTATGACCGAGAAAAAACAAAGTCCGCTAGGTTGAAAACCTAGCGAGAGGTGGTCTAGGCAAAAAATTAGGACATAAAAAAAATCAAAAAAACAACTCATCCCTCTGAACTACGTTATGACTTGATCCTTTTCACCGAGGTACGTAGGCAGCTTAAAGTCTCATTCTAAGTTCAGTCGCATGAGTTTAAAAAAAAAGGTTTGGCTTTTGGGATCATCACATTAACTCTTTCAAGTAGAGAGGCATATATAAATATGAAAAAGAAGACGATTGGCTTTGAAGTGTAAAATATATTTTATTGCTTTAATGTTACAAAGGTGATACAACCAAAAATGTGGAGGCGAAAGGGATTAGACATTATCCTATACAAAAGCCTAAGTAATGAAAATGATCGTCAACTAGACTTTGTTATTGATGCGTCTTAAATATTTTTCCAAGTCTGTATGACGTCTCCACATTTAATACGACATTCTCAATGTACGTCTCTCGCCGTCAGTAGTTGTGATGACCTCTTGACCACGTCTCTTGTTGTTATGCCTCGAGCATGATAGTTTGCTTCTCTTGTGCAAGTGTTGGTTGAAGCTCCCATATATGAGAAGTCATCTCTCTTGAAAAAAAATCTTCAATCACCATAGGAGCCGCCATTGATGGACTTCAAGACTATCAACAAATCAAGTACAATAGTTGGTGAAGGGGTGGCTCTGCATCTTGCATTACACCTCAGTCTGATATCTGGACCCTTTGAGCTCCTTTGCAAGTCTGCAAAAAAAGTAAATGAAGAGATAAGATTTGTAAAGCATGATAGCTAAAGTTACTATATGCAAGACTATAGAGTCAAATTCAAGAAAATAACAACATTCACCAGACAACTCAGAGAGCATAGAGATGGAAAGCTAGCTCAACGGACGACAGGATCAACTTTAGAAAACTACTGCAGTCTATATGGAAGATATTTTGCTCCTAACATTTTATACGTTGTAGATTTGGATGTCTAGTTTCAAACAACACAAACGGTTTGCGATTTGGAGGCTCCTATCTCAAGATACGAACTGTTCGCCGGGAACTACACGAATCTGAGAGTTTACTGCAGCTAGGTCGAATTTGAGAATTTTCTGTTTCCAGCTTAAAAGGAGTTATGCCATGAAATTAATATATGTTACAGGTCTCTGAGTTTACTTTTTAATGGCATAAATGGATCGCAATTTGAAGATTCCTAGCTCGAGATATGAATTCTTCGACGAGAGTGCGCAAAGCCGAAAAAATGAGTATGGCAGACATCCAAATCAATTTCAAGAAATTTCTGTGGCCAATTTGGAAGGAATACTTCTACGATATTTTGAGGATTTTCTTATCTCTCAGTATTCTTTCCAATAGCACAGACAGCTTATTATTTGGAACTTCCTAGCTTGAGATATGTACGTTCTAATGACAGCATACAATGTTGTAAAATCAAGATATCAGACATGTATATCAGCTTCAAAAGTCGACTCTGGCTAATTCTCAAGGAATTTATCCGTGAATTTTATATAGGATGCAACCTTTTATGTTTTTAGTCTTCGAAAGTAAGCGGCTTGAGGTTTCATCACTCCTACATCAAGGAATGAATATTTCTACAAAGGTGCGCCAAGTAATCACCTACCAAGGATGGAATACGGTCGCTCCAGCTCCAAACTTTTTTCTTGCCAAGCCGCAAGGCTGAGATGAACTATGTTCTCACTCACAGGTTGCAAAGTGGGGATATGTCTCGCCGATCAATCTCGCTTAGGACTACTCTAAATGTCTCTCGTCGAGCCGCAAGAAGGGATGTACCAAGTTGCCGCTGCACTCTCTTGAAAACCTACAAAAATAAGAAAAGATTTTGGATCCTTCAGTGCCAACAACATGACGTTTTTGCGGATACGATGCGAGTAGCACGACGATCAGCTCGGTTAATGGATATCGGTGCCATATCACGATGTTTCTGCTTCTGCGGATACGATGCCAATAGCACAATGCTTCTGTCATGACCCAAAATTCCACCACAAGTATCGTGATTGCACTTAGTCTCTAAGACTAAGTAAGCCGATTATAATTACAATTCAAGCCAATTTTGTTTTTTAAATAGATAATCGAAACCAAAAGCGGAAATAAATATAAATACCTCCCAAAACTGGTAATACCGAGTCACGAACTCTAACTGAATATATGGAATGATCTCAAGGATCGAATACTCAATACTCTTAGAATAATAATTAACAATACAATAAAATAGAAAGACTCCAAGGGACTGCGACGACCAAGCAGCTCTACCTTGAATCCTTGCGATCACACTTTAACTCTGTCCGAATCCGATATCTCCAACACATGGCTCTGCAAAAAAATATGCAGAAGTGTAGTATGAGTACACCACAGTCGGTACCCAGTAAGTATCAAGACTAACCTCAGTGGAGTAGTGACGAGGTACAGTCAAGACACTCACTAGTCTAATAATATGTGTAATATAGTATACAAAAATAATAGGAAAATAAATAACAATAATGGCAACACTAATCAACCAGTCCCAATACATAACACGAACCTGCTCGAGGCCTTAAATCACATCAAACAATATCAAAATCACGAATTGCACCCCAATTCAAGCTTTATGAACTTTAGAAATTCAAACTTCTACATTCGACGCCGAAACCTAACCAATCAAATCCGATTGATCTAGAATTTTGCACACAAATCATAATTGACATTACGGACCTACTCCCACTTCTGAAATCGGAATCTGACTGTGATATCAAAAAGTTCACTCTCGGTTAAACTTCCCAAAAACCTTCAAATTTCCAACTTTTGCCAAATGACCCCGGAATGACCTACAAACTTCCAAATCCACATCCGGATGCTTCCCTAAGAACAGAATCACTATGCGGAGCTATTCCCAGACTCGAAATCCTAAACGAATATCGATAACATCAAAATCCACTTCAACCCAAACTTAGAAAATTCTTAAACTTTAAAAATGCCAACCTTCAATAATAGGCGCCGAAATACTTCCGGGCCACCTGATACTCGACCTGAACATACGCCCAAGTACGAAATCATCATGGACCTATTGAAATTATCAAAATTTCATTCCGGAGTCGTTTGCTCAAAAGTCAAACTCCGATCAACTCTTTTCATTTAAGCTTCAAAAATGAGAATTGTTCTTTCAATTTAAAATTTGAATCTTCACAAAATCAAACGACCGCACACACAAGTCATAATACGTATTACGAGGTTGCTCGAGACTTTAAGTAGCTAAATGAGGCATAGATTCTTAAAATGACAAGTTGGGTCGTTACAGCTTTGATTCGGCATGATAGACATCAGGAGCCTACGATGCTTAGTGCACGAAGCTCTTTGGTGCTCTGGTTGATCTCTATTGAGTTTAGGGGCCTCCCTAGCGTCGTACATCCCTACTGCGGTGTTGCCTGTGAATACTTTGTCGTCATTAAAAAATTAAGTTAGCGGTAATATCAAGCTTATCATGATCGGGCATATGTCCGTGAGGCCTGCTATTCTAAATCACATGGCCCCTCCGTGTAATCAATATGTTTGCGGCATGACTCTTCTCTGTAATCATTGGGCTTGCGGCACGACTCCTCTGTGTAACCAATGCGGTTAAGGATGGCTCATCCATACCTGAGTAACTCACTATTATTTTGTAGTAGAAATCTATAAGAAGAAAAAAAGCATAGTAGTACGTTGCAAAAATTAAGGCAAGAATAGGAAATAAAAAGAAGCAAAGAAAGACCATATATTATGCAAAAAAAAAAATAGATACTTGACTAGAGATTTCGAAGACTGTGATTTTCTTCCCCTAGCTCGTGGTGATCTTGTTCTTCTCATGTATTTTGAGGGCCCAATTCCTGTCTATTTATAGATGCTTAAGGGCGGTGTTCCCA